TTTTTTTTTTTTTTTCTTTTTTTTTACTTATCGATTATTTCTTATTTACTTTTTTTTACTTATCAGCTGAAATACAAATAATCTACCAAGTAAGTGGTCGGTTACAGGATAATCGGCACTTTTTCTGTGTGCTCCTTTAAAAGAGCCGTTTTCTAGGAGATAAACATGACCTCGTCAAATTAATACTCATTGCGACAGTATGGTACTCGCGTACGTGCACGAATCAACACAAATAACGTGAGCATTGCGCCTGAATCGATGAAAACTTGTTAGCAAGGATGCATGGAAATCGAACAGTGGTGGTGCGCGACGCCAAAGCATTCGTCATTAGGTAGTTAAGCACAGATCATTCGTATGGATAGAGATGGAGTAAATAGCGAATTTCAATCAGCAAGGCAATTTTCGAGGTTGTGCCGTCGCTATGGTGTAGTGCTATACATTCGTCAGCAGTGAGTCGACGGCTCGAATGATTTTTGGAGACAGAGGAGTAATTCAAGGGTAGTGAACTGTGTGAGTTGTATAATTAACGTGATTTCAGGCTTATAACCGTAATTTGTACAAATCAAGCTGTTTCATGAAATAACATTGAGCTTAGTAATTTCCTAATGTTGGTTTAATGAATTTTGTTAATGCACGGCATTGTGGAGAACTACTTACTCTACTAGCTGATTAAAAAAAAAAAATGTTACAGGTAGTTCAATAACTTATTGACGCGAATATCATAACAAAACTTTTCTAATTGACATAGATGATGCAGCCTTTTTTTATTTCAAAGGCAACTTAACTCAAATATCAATTGCAGGTCTTTTATCTGAATCTACTCGAGTAGGTACAATTTTTTTTATAAATGAATCTAATGTTGTGGCTACATCGATAATTTTATTTAAAAATTAAAACGATTTTTTTTTAATTTATAAAAATTTGTGTGTACAAGTAAGATATTTTTCGAAGAAAACAGTTTTTTTTACATTACCATTTTTACAGATTTGTTTTCAGTTACATAATCAATCAAAAAAAAATTGATAAGACGTGTCGCGGATATTTTGTTTATGATAAAATACATTTATTGCCATGCACATTTATTTTATTTTTTTTTCAACACAAAACTATTTTTTCTTTCTGTATCTCCTGATATTGCTTAACATTTCTAAACAAAACTTTCTATAATTACTGTTTACGTAGTAATATAAAACTTAATAAACTTGTAAAGAATTGCATGTCATTTATTACATAAAAACGTTTTACTGTTTTCAAAGTAGATAATTAAAAAAATTTAATAAAAATGCTAAAAATTGCCACGGCTTCAGTCAGTTATATTAAAAATTTTCCATTTATACTGTAGTTAATGTATATCATTTAAGATTTATCAGATTATTATCTATTATTACAGTACTTGCCATGGTTAACGTAAACTCATTTCATTGTAGTAATTAAAAGCTCAAAATAGAAAGACCGTACTTAAAAGGGTTGGTTCCAAATCTATAGAGTCATTATTTTTGAGTAAATAATTAATTCACAAAAGCTTTTTTTTAGATATTTTGACCAAGAAATTTTCGAGTAAAAAAGTTTCAAGAACATGTAATGTAACACGAATTCTTACGAGAGGACAAAATTTAGTTACGAATTGTTCGGATAACTATATGGTAAAAACATGTTTAAATAAAATGTAAAATTTTTACTGATAACTTGGTACAAAAATAAATACGTTCCAAAGAAAATTAAGTCGTTATAGAGATTTTGAATAATCGAATTCATGTAAACAAAGCTGGAAGATACTCATTTGCTAATACACGGGAAACAAGTAAGCATTGTCTGTTGTAAGCTATTTTTTCGGTGGGCCTAGACTATACTTCATAAAATTTTTATTAATAAACATTGAGACTCCTCCTTCTTTATATATATATATATATATACTCATTTTTTTTTTTGAAGAAAAAAGAATACAAGCTTTTTGAATAAACTTAGCAGTATAAAAATTTTTTTGTTACATTTTAGCTGCACTTCTTTAAATGTTAGTAGGTTCAACCTATCTGAATCTTTCGTAAAGTCGACTTTTTGCTCAACTAAAGTTCATTCAAAATAAACGGCAGTATCAACTTTTGTACGAACAAGAGTTCATCAACCAACCCCCATCAAAAAATCCTCCAACCAACAAACTAGTCGATGGTCATGAATCGTTTAGCTGTATGTACATACCGAGAAACATTAGAGTAGTTGCCCTTTAATTTGGCACCCCCTGCAAGCCAAGCGTGATAATTTGCCTAATAAACTCGGGCCTAATTTGATGCTCGAATTCAAAGCCAAAGGTGGCCACTGCTACTTACCGCTAGGCTGCGGTATTGGCAGCCACGTGCAGTCGCCTCTCATGTGCTCATACGACCGACGGGCAAACACACGACGGAACGAGCACGTGTTTTCGGCAGAGGCCTACTTTGACACCAATCTTTAAACTTGACTCGCTCGATCGGCTCTTGCGCCCTTGGAAATCGAGCTTGCGCGTGGACCAACCATTGGGACGCCTTTGCGCTCACCGACTGTCTACACTTTCCTCGCCTAGACCTTTGTTGCAATGATTTTCTCGGTAATCCGCTATCCTTGGAACTATTTTATTGCCACGAGTTCACTTGACATACAATCATAATTTTTTGCCCCTTTTACAGAGCTATTCTCGAACACGTTACCAGCACTCGTTTTGTACTATGAAACGCATCAGGTGTATTATGTTTAAAACTTGAGGACGGATTTTGATATTATCTTTATGACGTAATGTCAGAACCGATGATTTATAAATTAATCGCCTTCTAGTATTGAAACAAAATTTTTTTGCCATTAAGTATTTCATTTAGCATACACCGTTTGGAAATTCGAAAACATTAAATAATTGTAAATTGCGGCTGTAATGTTGAATCCATCGCATTGCAGGTTTTGTATCGTTAAAATGCACAATGTGCAATTTTGCGTAAAAGGAAGAGGTTTCTGAGAAGCCGCAGGGCAGACTCGACAAGTTTTTCGCGTCTAGTTAGTGCTTAAACTTTATCTGAATTGACTAAAATTTTTCATGCAATCAATACATGAGTTCTACAATCGTAGAGTAGTTTTGCTTTGTCATAGAGAAATCTTTGTAATGGACAAAGCATTTTATGTTGAGATAACATTATGTAGATATTATTCCTACAGTTGAGGTTAGAAATAGAGTACTCAGGCTTAGATTTCTGGCTGGGTGTGTATGTGTGTAGTTTGTCATATTTTGGAATTCTCTTGACCAATCGAAATGAATCTTTGCATATTTTTTCAAATTCCTTATTACCTATATTACCGTTGGAAAAGCAAATTTTAATTTGATTGATTGGTTGTTTTTTAATTTGATTTTATGTGTCTCAAAAACTAAATCTCGTTGGTTTAGGATGTTTTATGGAGAAGAATTCGAAATGTCCTTAAATTTTTACAAAAAAAGTTATTAGACTTAGAATATATACAGAAATAGATGTGGGTGTAAGTGACGTTGAACTAGAGAAAAACTTTATATTATTTTTCAAGCTAATGTCACAATATTTTCTGTTCGTCGGGCCTTGAAACTTAATTAAATGCAATAAATCAGTCTAAAACACCGACCAAATGGTACATCACATCATACTGTATATGTGGTGTTCCGAAATTATCAGCAGTTTGCTCTTTAAAATATCCATATTCCTACAAGTATTCATTACTCCAATTACTTTGTCTAACAATGTATTTGAATTCTATACCGTAGATATCATAGAATCGAAATATAGCTCTCAAGCTACCATTAGTTGTATGTTGTAATACAATAATAAATAAATAGTGTGGTTCGAGAAAGGGGTACTTTATAAGATAGAACAAATTATTTTATAAAACTTACTACTTTGCATTTGTGTATAATTCTCACGCACTTTAAAAAGACAGGAATCTTTTTGATTTTTCATCCAAATTCAATTTTCAAAAGCTTGTTGTACTCTCTTAGAAATTTAATTATTTAAGGACACCATAAAATTACGGTCACCATAAAAAATTTTCAAAAATATTTAAAGCATAATGGCATAGATGCAAATTGTTCACTGCAAGGATTCTTGAAATCGCGAAAAGCTATTATTTTCTGATAAACCATAGCATCTAACTCATTTCACATCGAATATTTTTAAAAAATTGTCATGATGACATTACGTCAAGTGTTTTAACAGTATACCAAGTTCTAAAAAAAAAATTGAAGTCAGATAAATATCAAAAAGATTAGACGAAGTGTTTAGTAAAGCAGGGCTCATTAAAGGGTGAAGGTGACATGGATATACTTCATACACAAGGTAGCAGACGAAAACAATGCCAGAAATTGTGGGAGGATATTTTTTAGTTATAGGATATTTGGTTACTCACGAATATATTAGCAAACTGAATGGGAAATAATTGGATATAATCAAATAAAAAATTGAATGAAAATTGAGCAAGATTTAGAGAGGATATGTAAATGTTCGGAAGATCATACATTCGCACGGAATAGTTTAATGAAGAACAAGTTAAGAAATAATGAAGGCAGAATATGCGTGTACTTTATCGATTTAAAAAAAGCATTTTCTAGGGGAAACCAGAAGATTTTAATTTAAAAATTTTTTTAAAATAGGGATCAAGGTAAAATTTATTTCAAGAAGATTAGGAATAATCTTTAGAAATACAGAGAGAAAAGTATAGTATACAAGCACAAAAAACTATGTAAAAATTCAGTTACGTAAGGCCAAATGAGTAGAAAGTTTTGATTATTACACCTTACGGTCGAGCTTTCGCGGTTTTCAAATTTTCAATTGTCATCTGATTACAATATTTTTAATAATAGTTTAACTGTTATCTTTCTCACTGATGTTTCAAATTATCATCTCTTTTAACAATTTTTTAGTGTTTAAGTAAATTATTTCCTTTTATTTTGAGGTGGTTGGATTATCATAAAACTTAAGTTATACAGTTATATTAAATCAACCATTACTGCGAGTAAAAAAGTAAACTCGTAAAAAATTAAATTGTTTTAACATTAAAAAAACTTGAGTATGTTTGTCTTAAAGGATATCAAACAGTACAATCTATATGTTTGTCTACTTCAGAGAGCGACAAGCGGGTGATCGTGAGACGCGAAGCTGGTGGTGAATTTGGCTTTCGCATTCACGGCTCGAAGCCACTGGTCGTGTCTGCGATAGAGCCCGACACACCAGCTGAGAACTCGGGCCTTGAGGTCGGCGACATCGTGATCTCCGTCAACGGCAAGAACGTCCTCGAAGCGTCGCACTCGGAAGTCGTGCGGCTAGCACACTCTGGACCCGACGTGCTCGAGCTCGAGGTTGCCCGTACCTGCAACGTCCTCGCGCCCCAGGCCAGCAACAAGGAGGCCTGCAAGCCCGAGCCAGCCCTCCACTCGGGCTACCTGTGGCGAAAGGCTCGCTCAGCCGACAAGTGGGTGCGCTGCTGGTTTGCCTTGCGCCGCGATAACTGCCTTTATTACTACAAGACTGACACGGTGAGGGCTCACTCTATGTCGATAACCCGCGTGAAAATTTTAACGTATAGCTTAACTTTCGCCAAAGTTCATGTGGCAACCTTTGGCCAAGCTTGGGCAATGAGAAAATCCCAAACCTGGACTCAATATTTTTCATAAGTCATATATGCAGACCAACTACTATACTGACGCAACAAATTAATTTTTTAGACGTTTGGAAGAACATTTGCTAAACTTGAGTCAAATATTCCAACAAAAATCCAAGTTTGGGATTTTTTCATTGCCCAAACTGGGCCAAAGTTTGGCCAAACGTTAGCCACATGAACTTTTGCGCAAGTTTGGCCAAACTTAAAATTTTTTACGCGGGAATTTAACGACTGCGTTCAAGAGCACAAAGTCGATGTGGAAGCTTTGGGCTTGAATGGTCTGGATTTTCATAAGTGGCATGGAAAAAAATTTTCTTGTATTTATGTTCACAATCACAGGATTTTTTTATTCTTGCACTGTTATTGTTGGCAAAACACTTTTTTCTACGGAAAAAGTTGAGCATAGCTTCATTCTTGATAAAAAGAGTTAAATTTATTTGTTATCTTTAGTGAGAGTAAAAACGTGAATATTTCCTGCTGAAAATAGCACAGCCGACAATAAGAAAATCAACAACATAAAGTTCTTTTGTATTTCAGGATGCGCAACCACTGGGAGCAGTGATGCTTCTCAAGTACGACGTTGACTTGACTCACGAAACACGAGCGCATAGTTTTGCCATCAGAAAGCACGGAGCTCCGACGCTACATCTCGCAGCTGACTCGGCTGAGGCCACGACTCGCTGGTGTACGTTCATCCACGAGGCAGTGGAAAGAAATAATAAGGTAAAAAATTACTAGTTTGAACAGTAGGAGTTTGAAATCTAGCTTTTACTAGAAATTTCATACTCAATATTAACAGTATCACTTATAGAAACCAAAGGTTTTTCAATCTCCATACCACGCATGACCTCCTGAATTGAATTTTAACCTACATACCTTTACTTCAAAAATTCAAGTGTCATACAAGTATGGTAAATTCTGAGATTTGCACTCGTTTACTCAAAAATTTTGTCTATTGTGTTATGACTGGTATTTAAATTTATAAATCACACTCGTTACGTAAATTGTTTTAGTATATTGATTGGATCGAATGTTGATCGATTATTATTATTATTTTGGAAGGTTAAGAAAAAGTTATGTTTCAGTTGAATTAGACTGATTGTGAGACCATTTGATATCTAGTTGTAATTAGTAACAAAGCCGATTTTTTTGTCCCTCGTGTCATTAAAATACATGAAAAGTAAACAAAGTATCTACGACTTTCAGAGTGCATACATTTCAAGTAAGACAGTACATTTCACAAAGCATCATTAAAGAGGTTGGATACATATAATCGACAATAATTAAGGGCTCTGATTTAGTATTTGATTAATTCTAAGTGTTATAAAAAATAAACGTACTTTTTTTGGGCAATCCCCGCCATGTAGCTATTAAGATATTTCAAAATAAAAAATGAACAATTTAACGCGGGCTGTTACGGAAACAATGTTGTGACCTAAAAATAGCATATCTTAGTGACAGTTAAAAAATCGACAAAAAATATGTTTCGATGGTTAAAATACTGCGGATTCATATGATCCTCTGATTTTTATTAGTATCCATACTAATTAGAGAGAAAATCACGATTTTTTAAAAATAAAAATAAAAACTTTGGTTAGGTTTATAAGATGGATGCATGTACGCCATAGGAATAATCTGTATTACGCTCTGTCGGTAAGGCTGTGAGCTTCACACACCTTTGACCCCACTTCGCCTCCCCACGAAAATATTGCATCCAACCTCCGTAATACCTTCTGATAACCCTTGTAGACGGACACGTGGCTGGACGGCTCGCTGAAACTGCGTCAGACTCCAGCCTGCATGATCCAGCGGCCCGACTGCGTGGGGTACTTGTGCAAGCAGCATGAGCACATGAGGCGCGATTGCTCACCCGGTGGCTGGCCCCGGCGTTACTGTGTCCTTAAGGACGCGGTCCTTTACTTTTACAGCAACGCCAATTCCGAGCAGACCTTTGGCGTTGCCTACCTGCATGGCTATCGGGTCCAAGTAAGTGCCTCCACTGCCGGAGGACGCAAGCATGCCTTCGAGATCCAGCCACCCGACCCCACTCAGAGGGTTTACACTTTTGCCGCTGACTCCGAGATGGACAAGAAGAGGTAATGTATTATCCACAAAAGTACGAAAAATTTTTGCAAAATTATAGTAATAATTTATTTGTGTCATGCGTACGTTCCTGTATGCTGATGTAAAAATTTTTACATGCAAAGCAATAATGAGCCATCTGAACTATCTGATTGTCATGAGTTTGTAGTTTCCAAGAGAATATTTCAAAGCAGCATTAAATGATTTTTACTGTAAATACTGTGTTAATTTTTACTCCGAAGTCATCATAAAGTCAGTTATTTTATTAATTAATATAAGTCTATTCATATTCATATGTGTAGAAAAACTTAGTCAACTTGAATATATTGTTATTGCTGTGGCCCTTCAAGCTACTAATAATAAATCCATGGTTTAGTTACATTTTTTTTAATTATGTATAAATTTTGGGTATAATTAATTCCAAAAATCACACACAGGCAATAATATGCAACGTACTGAACCTATACATATTAAAGTGTTATTATCGTAATATATATTTACATTTTACATCTAACTGTTTGCCCAATTCAAGGATAGTTTAATAAAATTATAATTTTAATGACATTTTGTAAAAACAAACAATGATTTTACATATAATTCACAAACCGTTTACTCTTTTCAATCTGCAAATGTCATTTGAATCATAACCAGAAGATCTCAGCGAACCAATGACGTAACAAATAAGAAACTTCATTCAAAATTATTCTCTTTTTTGCGATAGGATGGACAACCTGTCATGAAGTTGATACATATCTTTAAAACCAGTCATTAAATAATAATCGTTTTATCCCTCAGTGATAGTAATGTAATTCAATTTTCAGATGGCTGGCAGCGTTAGAATACTCGATCGACCGGTGGATAAAAGTTGATTGACAGTGGCGAAGCTCACACGCAGGTGGCCGTCAGTCAAGGAAAAAAGAGACGAAACGCTACACCGTATGAAGTACCCGAAAATCACCCCTCAGCTAAAGTTCTCGTGCGTTTCACTTCTAGTCGTATTAACCATCGAATACTTTATCGTCCCCTTCGCCGTCCCAGAAAAAAAAAAAAAAAAAACTTTCAGATTCGAACAGTTAAGGCGTAAGTTTAAGAATTATTGTCAACGTTATGGTATTAACGTTCACACCAACATTTGCCTCGTTTTAATATACCGACATTTTTCAATGTACCTCACGATCGGTATTGTCTGATAATTTCAATTCATTAACTTCACTTGAGTTGATGATACTATAATACTAAAAAATAAAATAAATATGATAGAAATTACTTTACTCGTGTCCCCAAAGTAACGACACGATTAAATTTTTTGATTGACTTCAATTTTATGATGCAATGCACGTAGACTTTGGAATCGATATTTTTTTTTAAAGTGTATTTTATAACACAATTTACATAAACAAACCAGAATAAAAGATGAAAAGACATAAATAAGTAAAATTAAGAAAATATTAATAAATATATTACATGTAAAATGATGTAAAAAAAAAAAAAAATATAACTTGAATCGTTCTAAAAATACTGTACGTTTGTAAGCTTGTCTATTGATTTTATGTTCATGTATAGTATGTGATGATAAGTACTGTAAGTAAATAAAAGAGTATAAACATAAAAAATTCACATACGTGAACACATACGTATTATATATCGTACACGTGGTGTATAGACATTCGTAGGTGTATGTCAATACGAAAAAATATTTTATTGATGTAAACGAATAAATACGGTTAATATCGACTGCAAAAGAAAAACGAATATTAGAAAAAAAATCTTGAAGGATCTTATTCAAGTACTAATTAAATACAAAATAACGTAGAAATAATGTAAAGTAACGTTATGCACTAACCATCACTCAGAAAGATTATCGTGTGTATGTTACGTGTTAATTGTTGTACACAAAAAAATTTATAAAACAAACGTAGGAAAGAAAGCGATATTCAAAAAATTTGTACACCTCGCGCGTATATCCCTACTCTGATAACGGATGGGGACCGCATTTAAAAATAATCTTTGTAAAAAAAATAAAACTTAACGAGTGACAGACAGCTAAATTAGAGAGTTTGTTATGACTGTAAATCATATAAAAGCATAATTAAATGTCTTGTGATTGAAGTGTAAGGTAGATTGAAAGAAGTAAATAACACAAAAAATAAGAGAGATGCTGACATATACGTCACTCAAATTGAACGTACTACAAGTGACCAACGATACATGATTTTACTCTTCATCGATGATAATTTATTCACATTTATTAAATCCATTCTAAAAAAAGTAAAATGACATAAAGTGACAAAATCATCACTTATAAATAGAAAATAATTAAATAAAGACTTTAATACAAACAATTAAAAGATGCTACCTTCATTTTTTTAATCTTTTCTAAGCCCTTCCTGGAATTTCGTTGTTTGAACCTTCTTTATACCTTGATATTTTATTTTGTCTTAACTAGTGATTTACGCAAGACTCACATAATGTTTTTTTACATGCATCTTGTCACTTTTATTTGTTTATTCAATTATTTACTTTTTCTTAAACACAGCTCATTTTAACTGCATGTTTCTAAGATCACAATGATAACCAACTGAACTGTTGTATTAAACAATAAATATAAATCAATCAAGATTGTGTAGTTTATTTTCATTCATTAAGTAGTCACGATCTGTTGTTATCCATGATTGTTTCTATATTTGCTATTCGACGATTCTAGTGTAGTTTAAAAATTAATTAGAATGATCATTCGATGTTAGAAATGATAAATTTTAGTTAACAGATCCAAGTAAATATTATAAAATGATTTCTAATATTAGAATAAGGGCTCATCTGTTTATGTGTAAAAACTTCTAATAAAAATGTAATACAATATAACATTGTTTATACAGAAGTAACGAAGATTAAAATTATGATGACAAATCTGTCATCTTTAAGAAATAATAAGATAATTTTGTAGATACTATTTGTGTTGAAAATGTTTATTCGACTGTAATTAATAATAGTTAACATTAAATTCAATTCAAAATAATAAAAATGTTAGAATAGTTTTTTGGGTTAAAATTTTCAAATTATAATTTATTATGTAATTCAGAATCGAACAAAAAATTATCCAATGTATCAAGTCGGAGAAGGAAGAGTGGGCAATCTTTTTTTCAGTCATTATAAAAACATAAATTGAATAAAAGCACTTCTATGCAAGGTAAATAGAAAAGATGAGGTGAGTACTTGAAGAAACCAACTCACTAACCACAGTGATGAAGCAAGTTACCGACGAATCCAAAGGCAAAAAACTATTGTAATACGAATAAAATGGCATTGCATGATAAAAATTACTTTGAAAAATGGTTTAAAAATATGATGCTATTTGAGAGCTGTCATTTGTTGATTTTCTTACCATGGGCCCAAAGTGCAGCTGCCACTTTGCGCCTTCAGGTCACACTTTGCGCCCTTGTAATCACTTTGGGCCCATGGGTACAAAAGTTTTTTGCGCCCTCCGGGCGCAAAGTGATGACAAAAGCGAAAAGTGTGCCCACGGGCGCAAAATTGCGATTTTCCTCCTTCAGTAATAAATAGTATATGCGACTCAGGTACCAACGTACAACAACCGGGCCCTTCAGGCGCTCATGTTTGTACTTTGTGCCCTAGTGATGTAATGGTAGTTTTCCTACTAGTTTAAAAAGTCTCTGTTTGCGAACCGAGAGGTTTGCGGCCCGAGCTGAAAGCGAGGGACGTAACGAGGTCCGTTAAGGAGACTTTTCGAACGAGTTTCGGAAAACTGCTTTTTCGCCTGAGGAAGTACCAGCCTCCCAAAACCACCCGAGGGCGGAAATGTACCATTTCCTACCTTGAGCGTTTTTGAGAGGCTGGTGTGCTCTCGGTAGAAAAATGGGACTCGCCACATAAGCTCCATCCCTCCGGGGCAACCTTACGAACCCTCGGGCCTGCTTCGCAAGACCCTCGGGCCGCAAAATAGCCCCAGAGGCGATGGCGCTTATCTGACGAAAACTACCATTTGTCATTTTCTCCAAAAAAAGAAATAAAATCTACAATCATCGTACCCTAAACTTGATTATTCTGTAGTTATTCTTGAACATTGTAAAAAATATTATTTAGTTGAATCATGTAGTTTTGCAACAGTAATAAGAGCAAGTTCAAGTTTAGCAAAAGATAATTATAGATCTAATTACTTTTAAGATGAAAATTGCAATAAACAATTATGAACCCTCAAAATGGCATTACAGTTTTCAACCTTTTCTAAAGGTTGTTTTTAATCAGAATTAAATTGAGGTTTTATTTTATTTTATTAGGTTTTGGGATGGTTTAATTATCTTCAACATTATATTATATTAATTTCTGGTTTTATTTATTTATTTATTTTTTGTTTGTGATATATTCATAAACATTACAGCTACTAATAGAAAATTAATGGGATACATTGGAAAAATCTTTAATATTTAGGGGTAGGAACTTGAATCGGTCTTTGATCAGCATTTATCACAACCAGAGAAGATTAACATTGAAAGAAAAGAAATAAATCATATATTTAATACATTCATCAAAGTAATTATTAATGATGGTTTGAAAGAAATAGCACAAGAGAGTGTAACTTAATATGTATCCATAATTTTATTAAATATCTATATAGATTTTTTTTTTATATTTAATCTATATAGATAATGTGTTTCAGTATTTATATATACGAATGCATGTGTACTATAGTCAATATAGACATGTGCAAGACTAAAAAGTTTTACAAGATACATTAAGCAATTTAAAAAAAAAAACTGGTAATTGTAGAAATATTGCAAGTAGCTGCGGTGCTACATGACCACAGTTTAGCAATGGATCCAAAATCCAAACTCTCCAAAAATTTTACAAGGGTATGAATATGAGTTATTATGGCTATTGTAACCAATTATTATTATCTTTGAAGCGGTCAATAATACAGTGACCCGTAACTTTACAGAACAGTCATCAGCAGCAACATTTTTAGTGTTTCAGCTTGAGATTATTGAATAATATTATGGCTAATAATCATGCAGCTTAATCAGAAAATTTAATAATTTTAAGTTAAGAGACCTCAAGTATATATGGCTATGTACAGATTAATATGGAATAAATTACACGAGCCTGTTGATCGGACTCTTAAAGTATAACGAACATTTGACTCTTTGACTCGTGGCTCATGACTGCGGGTATGTATGCTTATTTATCATTTTCAACCACAATACACGTGGAAAAAATCACATGTTGGAACATGCTAAAAAGATGGCTATCAAAAGCTATTTTGTTGATCAATTTCAAAAATTTGTTTTACTTAAAAGTTCAATTGACGAACTAGTTTGAGTTGCTTGGCAAGGGCCCAACCGTTGCAACTGCAAAAACATAAATACATTATACTATGATATGGTCTGTTTTCGAAAGCCAAGTATATACGAGTACTATACAGTTTAATACTACAAATATTATGCAAAAAGTTATTTGCGCCAAAAAAAATTTACCTCGTACAAAACAATTTTGCTCTTTTTGTGAGCTGCAGAACATGTGATTACATTAGTCATTGTTGGTGTAAGAAATACGTTATATGCATTCTCTATAGAGAGAATTTGATTAATAAATCATTGTGTATACACAAAAGAAACACCACTGAAAGGAGTCATACTGAATTTGACAAATAGGATTGGCGAAAAACACGTGGACTGATTAGGATGCACAAAAACTCATTAATATAGTTTTTTGTTGCCATACACAAATTTACTGAAAAACTTTTGTTTTAATGCAAACTAAAACGAAAAAAAAAAATAGTAATAAAATAAAAATTCAGAAAAACTTACACGCGTTTGTATAAGTCAATTTTTGCGATGCAATTATACAGCAAATTAAAATAATATTTAAAGTATCGATTGTTACTGTCAGAAACTACCTTTTTTTACTTGTGTATATATTACGCCTGTGATCTGCTCCCTCTAAGCTATTAGATTCAAAGAAGGAACGACGATTAAGCATAAAAGACGGTACTAGTATTTACACTTTTACATCTTCAAAACACTAATGTTTATTTATTTAAATTTATAACTTTAGGAATGAACTAGATATTATAAATACAAACACATCAACAAATACTATTTTTCAGAAGCTACTAAAGTATTAAATTATTTTAGATAAAGAAAAAGTTTTTGTACCTTTGAAACTACTGAGGACTAAAATTATACGTTGAGATCACGAGACATGTCTTCAAAAATGTTTAACATGTTTAAGACCGGTATTACAAACGCCTTGTACGTATGGCGTTCTTTAACACGGATTTTAAGTTCATAATTTTGGTATGGTTCTTACTAATAATATTAAAGTAGCTTTTTGCTATTAGTTGAAAGCGTAATTTTGAAAAACACATACAACATTTGTCTTATAACTTATCTTCATG